GTCTTGTCATTCTAGCAGCACCAGACATTGGCCTCATCTGTGCACGTGGCCCTTGCAGCTTTGCCTTTCCTTTTTTTTTTCTTTCTTTTTTTATTCTCTTTTCATATATCGGCATATGAAGACATTTTGTCATATATTCTTTATTTTCATTTTTACCACACATGAAAATTTAAAACAAGTGTAAGAAGTTATTCATTTAGTACGAAATTCAAAACTAAAAATATGGACATTAAGAGACTAAAATGAAAATGAAAAATTAATTGTAAAGATTTAAATGAAATAACTGGGATTATTGAAATTTTATTTGAAATTGTTAAAAAAATATTTAAAATTTATGTATTTTTAGAGATCAAAATGTCAATAGTACAAATTTTTTGGGGTTCAAATTATATTTTACTCTTTTTTTCTCCTTTTTTTTATAGATGTTAATAAAAACCTATTTATTTAATGTTTATATGTAACGACTCATCATAATCTCTACACTAAATGATACAGTTACTACTAGTGAAAATTTAAGAATATCTTAGGGTTGTAAGTGTACTAACACCTGAATATGTATCATATATCATGTATATAATAGTAAATCATCTCAATAAATGTGTATATACAATATAAATATAGTAATCTAGCTAACAATAAACTATACAATCTAAGTTAATTAGTCAAACAATTTCTACAATATATACAAAACCACCCTAAAAAGGTAGTTCTCAAAATACATCCAACTCTAGTGCCACCGACTGGCCTCCATTACATGACTCCAACTTATTCTTATCTTGCTTTCATACCACGTATGATCATCGCAGTATAAATCACATTGAAATATATGCAAGGGTAAACTAGAGTTTAAAGAATAATACATATACAATGTGAAAACGTCAACTAATTAAATACATCATCATCTCCGAAACTAACAACATAAGACATCATAGTACAACAACTCATTCTACTACAAAACAATACCAGCTCAAGATTAGAGTATTTTCAACATAGATTGATCATCACTACAACATAGTATTTACAACACAGCATTTACATACATCATCACGCATTTCAATTAGGAGATTTCTTACAATGTAGGGTGAGCAGTTTAAGTTGTTTGACCCTATCCAACCAACAACACAAGATGATATTTTTGGACTTGCTAGATCAACAACAAATTGGATATAAATCCACAATAAAGCAACTCGATTTTTCGAGTGTTGTCACTTAAACATAGAAGTTTAGTACTATTGTTAGGGTAGAACAATTGGGTATAGGCCTACCACAACATTAGCTAGTTTAATTAAGTCCCCTATGGGATTAGTCCTCCAAATACTACGCCTTCCTATACTTAATTAGGAACTAAGTTTCCGACTTCATACTTTACTTGATTGGTCACTTGTAATTAATATAGCTGAACATGGCCCTTATACTATAGTCACTTAATACATGTGTGTCTCGACCTTGCCCACACATGGTACCAACAAAGTCCAAAAGGAGACTCAATACAACTATCCACTTCAAAGGTCAACTTTCTAAGAAGGATTTTTAACAAACTTTGGCTCTTAGAACACCATAACACAATATCCACACAATGAGATATGAAACTTTCAAAAATCTCTTCTATAGTCCTAGGTTAGTCATAATAACTCAACAATACAATAACTTCATATATATTCACCACAACTACACAACCAACACACAACTTTACAACTCACAACACACATCTCAACTCATATTCACTTCTCAATCATCATTCATCTCAAAACATCATCATATATAAAATAAAAATGCTTAACAACTTTAAAGTATTCAATATATGCATCTGTTCATCTTATATTTAACAATCATTAAATTCTTTTACATGTTCTCATTCTACTAACAGCGTTTGACGCAACACTCTTCGTGCCTGACACCATCGAGGTAAGGAACTTTTTGTCTCATCCACGTTTGATGCTACACAAATCGCGTCCAACATGGATAAGACAGAGACCCTTAAGACCTCGAGCCTAGCATATGTGGTAAAGTACCACGCTTGGCCCCATCTCAGGCAGAGAGTCTCTACTTGACTCATGTCTGGTATCACCATACTGACACTTGACGTCACCCAAGTAGAGAGTTCTGGCTTGATCACACTAGGCACCGCTCAACTTTGGGTCTGACATCACTAAGTCAAAGACCTCTCAACATTCTCATGCCTGGTGTCGTGTCAACCCAAGACAAGTCTCTCTTCTCACACTCGACGTCATCGATCTTACTCCCAACGTGATCAAAATAAAGAGCCTAAGATAGAACGACGCCTAATGCTAAAATGGCATGCCTAACTGGATATCAGAATCTTGTAATTGTAGAACTTGATTTGTCTCAAACTTGAAATCTAGAAGAAGAAAAATTCAACACATGCAACATCAAACAATATTTATACACAACACAGTCAACCCATATATGCACTTAGATTCAACATGCAATCACAAATCCTTTGAAATCACCACATTCTTTATCAAGAACCCAAAACCCCAACTCTCACTATGACCCACTCTAATTTGATCCACATACAACCACGAATGGCAAGGAATTTATATCATAAACCAACACGTCATTCAACAACTCAGCTACTCCATTAAAGCAAGAATCTAGCTTCTCTTACCTCGAATAGCTCAGAACCGAGGTTAATGAGAAGAAAAACTCAAAACTCTACAATACAACTCCAAATGGGTCAACAACTCATTTCAAGGCTCCTAAGTACCTAAATTCACCAACAATACAACACAATGAGAACCAGAGAAGGAAAAGGAGAAGATTAAGAGAAAAGGGAGCCTAATCCTTTTCTCTAGAATCCTCTCACTAGACTTATAGAAAAAGAGTTTATAAGGCTCTGTTTAAAACAGAAACCCTATATATTCTTCCTCTCGAGTTCAAACTAGTCCTCTATTTAGAGAAACCTGCAACGCTGCTAAAACTCTTAAAACCTTAGACTCTAGAATCTCTCAAAATCGAACAACAATTCAACTTAAAAACATAAAATGACTTGGAATAATTATAACACTTCCACAACTTACAATGTTACACTATCAACAAAAATATTACGACAGCGTGACTACACACACCAACAATAGTGAGAGGATGGTTGTTAAACTATATTTAAGGTTAAGTTGAAGTCGTGTTTTTTAATTTTCTTTTTTAAAAAAAAATCATTTTAAGAATTTTTACAAAAAAATTATCCATTTTAATAAATTTCTCCTATTTTAACAACAATAATGATGAACAAAATACATAATATTATTCATGACTTTTGAAAACGGTAATCCTTATATCGAAGTTGGGAGTTAGGATGAAAGTGGAAAAAAAATGGTAAGAATAAATGAGAAAAGAAGAGAAGAAAAGAGAAATAAACAAAAAATAAAATAGAAATTGAAGTTGTTTGATAAGAGAGAAATAAAAAAAAATTAAAAAAAAAATAATTTTTTTATTAGATTATATTTGATTAAATAAAAATAATAATTAACATATATATCCTTGCAATTAAATTTTTTATTTCAATAGTTTTTAATTAAACAATTATAATCGATTATATAGACTACCATAAAGTAGAAAAATGCATTTGAGAATCCACAATAATACATTATGTTCAGTATATAATCGATTATATATACATAAAAAAAAATTGTCATAACTTAAAAATTTGACCTTCATAATCAATTTTGTAATTGTGATAATTAATTATGATTATCAATAATTACATCACACTAACAAACAATTCTTATGTCTATAAGGATATAAACGCAAAGATTCATTCTTTCCTTCTGATTCACTCATTTTAGCATGCATTAAAAAGTTATGAAATCCACCAATTTCATAGTCTCTCTTCTCTTCTAATCACCTACACCAAACACAAAAGGTCCCCTCACTTCCCCTCCCCTCTTCATAATTCATTTGCACCAAACGAGCCGTAAAAGTTGGATGTCAAAACAAGTCATATCGCGACTTCGTCAAATTGAACTTGAAATTCAAATTTTAATTTTAATATACACATCAAATAAAATAATTTAAATCAGGAGGTAAATCCACTAAACTTTTTTTTTTTTTTAATCCATTCTAGAATCATTTGACTTATACGAGGCTTTGGAATATTTAGTTGTTGCTTCTTTTAACTTTACAGGTATCTGTATTGATTAGGAATGTTCATATTTCAAGAAAATGCCGCCAAAAGTTTGATGTATAAAAATATCCTTTAGGTATGAAATTTATAAATTAGTTTAATTGCTTACATCTTGATTAGTCCTTTAACTTGGCTGAAACATATCAAGATGTATCTTTAATTAACGTATCCACAGTTTAAGATGAGTGGTGCAATAAAAATTCAAACACAATTTCAAGCCTAATTTTATTTGTTCTTCAGTTACCTCCGAGTTAATGAAGGAATACAAAACATATTCACTTGTATTTAGGCTCCGAGTTAACAAGGCCCAAAAGGTCGTACAGAATATGCCCCACGGTGAGAACTGTTATTATTGGGGGTGATTGTAAAAGTTTCATGTGTGTATTTGGAAGTGCATTTTATAAAATTAATTTTAAAGTGATATGATTTATATTTAAGTGTTTTTATTTTAAGACTCAGTAGTAAATAAATAAAGATTACTTAAAGTTAACTCAAAATTATTGTAAACTCCATTTTTCTCAACGATAAATCAAACATAATTGTTAGAATTGATTTGTAAAAAATGTGGTTTATATTTAAATGTTTTTATTCTAAACGCTAGTACCTAACTAATAGTAAAACCCAACATAATTTTTTTATCCAATGAAAAACGTTCATAAAGTTGTTGCAATTCAAAATCAATTCTAAACCCAAAATCAACTTCTTGAATCTTGACATAAAATTAACCTTGCTGAATCCAACCTGAGTGCTTTTGGCAACATAAACCGTGAACTATGGCAAGGCAATGCAATAGGTCAAATTGAAATGGTGGATCACAAAGTTGACACGGTTAAATATATAACAATAAAACAGCTCAAAGAACAGTACAAGGTACAATGATTTATAGTAGATCACAAAATTTTATAGTATATGTACAAATATATACAACACCGACTTGGGATCACAACAGTTATGGTCTAGTAGAATAGCATTGTGGTATACATTTTGCCAAGCTAAAGCTTCAAAAACTTTACTCTCTCCTCCCAAGAGTAGCCACAAAGAAAATTAGAAGTCCATACAAAAGTTGGAAAGTACTAGATACCCCGCAAAATAAGGGAAGAAATGAGGCAGAGAGGAAATGGTGTCGCATTTTGAACTTGAGAATAAGCAATGGCAAGCCACTGAAATAAAATAAGAAAAACAGCTTCTCAAATGATACATGTAAAAATCAAAAGAATGCAATGAAACAAAAGTTCTATAGGCCTAGACAGAAGCTACCACAAGTTACTTAGGCAGGGAAAAAGGGGCAATGAAACAACCAAAATAACCAATTTTCATGATTTTCCCTTCCCACTAGCAGCAAGTTCCCGCAGATTACGAAAATGGCTGAGGAGCTGTTGTGCCTGCATGAACATGTAAATGTCAGTGTTTTCTGTTACACCTTTCAGATTACAAGAGGCACTGTATGCCTTGACCACCAAAGTTTTTCATAATACCTTTAGTAAGTTGCTACAATTGAACTTTCCATTTTCCAAGAGAAGGTAAAATATTATTTTGGGGGGGAGGGGATTACGATGGAGAATAAACTATTGAGAAAATAATTACATCAAAATGCACTGATATAATGTTTTCCAATCACATATTGTCATGTATAATAACTTTGTTGACTTACGTAATAACTACCTTAAAACTAAGGATTTAATTGTGATACACTGACAATGTAAAAAAAATTTACACAATCAATCAATCAGAAATCATGACTTGTATAACTTTTTAGATAGTTATTGTAAAAGTCAACACACTTATCATTTATGATGAATTATGATTAAATGATTGTGTAAAAATGATTTACATTGTCTGTGAATCACCATTAAACCCTAAAACTATTACATAGGATGACATCTAATTGATTAACCCTGTAAAAATATTTACGCTAGTGTATGAAAAGTAAACTAGAGAAAATATTAGAAAATTAGGATGGGGAATGCACTATTGAGAATAGAATTAAATTAAAGTTCACTGATATAATGTCATCCAATCACATTTTGCCATGTATAATGACTTTGTTAACTTATAATAACTACTTTAAAAGTCATTCATAAGATGATATTTGATTGATTGACCGTGTTTAGGGTTTAGGGTTTACTTAATCTTGAGAAAATATTAGAGAACAATAATGTAGTTCCAAGTTTCAATAAAATGTTTGCATAATTCTGATTGAACCCAAGGCTTCAATTCAACAGTGTTACCATAAGAAGGACAAAAATTCAGCCAAATGCAGCAAACTGACTGGTAGATATAAACAGACAATAAAAATGTTAACCACCAATAAGGATAATAAGTTTCACACCTTTTCCCTTGCTCTTGGTGTACCAGATTGAGATAATCCAACTAGAGGAGGTACAGCTCCTTCTTGCAAAACTAGAGTACAGAACTTGGTACTATGAAGGCATAATTGCAAGAGAATGGAGGCAGCATTTTCCTTCCCTCTCTGAGAACCTGACTCAAGAATTTCAACTAGTAAGGGGATGCCCCCTTCCCTTGCAATTTCAAATCGGCCCTCTGGAATTGTTGACAGGTTTGACAGAAGAGCGACAGCCTTGTCAACCATTCCCTCAGCATGGTCCATTAACCGAACCAGAAACTTCACTGCTCCAGCTTGAACTATCCGAGCTTTATTCTCATGAAATATTGACAGGTTAAATAAAGCAGTAGCAGCATCTTTCTTTCCCCTGAGAGTACCTGAGGCAAGAAGATCCACCAAAGCTTTAACTGCTCCAGAACGGCCAATTCTTGCCTTATTGTTCTCTATTACTGAGAGGCTGAATAGAGCTGCTGCAGAATTCTCCTTGGCGCTGTCATTTCCTGTTTTCAAAACATGGATAAGTGGTTCTATGGCTCCTGCTTCCATGATCAAGGCCTTGTTGTCTTCATTAATTGATAAATTCAGCAGAGCTGTCACAGCATGCTCTTGTGTTACCTTCCCATCTGAATATAGCAGCGAAAGCAAAGGCATCACAGCCCCACACTTCCCTACAATGATACGATTTTCCTTGTTATGCTTTGTAAGGAGCCTCAATTCTTCTGCAGCAGTAGTTTTTGTTTCAATTGAATGGTGGTGAAGGTCTTCAATCAATTTATTGATATGAGATGAGGTGGTCAATTCATCTGATCCTGAGTTGAAAACAGAATGGGAATCAATGCTTGAATGACTATTATTATTACTATCATTATTATTTCCATTCTCCAGCACTCCCTCATATGATCCAGGGTTTTGAAATTGCTTTCCAGATAACCAAGAAGATATCCCTGATTGTTTGTTACTGGGAGAAGGAGGACATGCCTTTGTGATTTCTCCAGACAGCACCTTCACATTTTGATGCTTATTGGATATCCCTGACACATCTTTTGAAACTGCAAGTGTGCAATCGGTACTAGAAATTGAACTTGAAAATGATTCACTTCTGCTGTGTACATATGGGGATTGTTGCTCACACTTTTCAGTTCCTCCACTCTGGCATCCATTGTATTCTCCACATAATCTGAAAGAGTTATCACCCTTTTGCTTTTCGAATGTACTTTCAGTTTTAGGAGATGATCTTGAAATGGAATTGCAACTAGGTAAAGACCCAACACAACAATTAGGAGTTAAATCTTGAGACAATAAATGATCTGAGGGGGATGTTGTACCAGAAGATTTATTGTGCTCGGAGTTACCGTAAAGTTTGACATTATTTTCCTCACACCAAGTTGCTATCATAGCTTTGACAGTATAATTGGGAATGAGTTTTGTATGAGTAAGTCTCTGACGAGTTTTGGGACAAACAGTCAACCCATGATCAAGCCACTTTTGCATGGATTGCCTCTCATATGTTTGACCTGAAGCCACAATAACAGGATCCAACATGAGTTCCAACGATAAAGGACAGCAGAAGTAAGGAGGGATTGAGAGTCCACTCTTGACTACAGGGCACTCAGTTTTCATCACATAATCACGCAAAGTACGGACAAGAATCACGATTTCATTCATCTCTACCAAGTCCCCTTTCATTTTATTGGTTTCGGCATTCAACCTTTCCTTTTCCACAGCAATACTTTCTTTTAAGAGCTCCTGATTTGATGTCAATTTAAGTAACTCAATAATTTCCTTGAGATGCTCCTTGCAAGGTTCAATATTATCTCTTTGGCTTCTTAGTGCCTCTTCTATGTAGACCATTGCCATTTCCTTCTTGAGACACTGAAGTTCCTGGATATAGTGCTGAAAAGTTGCCAGAAATTAGTCTCATACTTAAATAGATAAAATAATTACACCTGAAAATAACATTGATTCTTCCTCCTAAAAACAGGATTTCAATTCTTTTTTCACCTATTTTTATTTTTGGGAGGCTGTGGTGTAGCAGAATAATGATAAAGAAAAAGAGATATAGAAGGTAACTTCCAACTTTGCACATACCTGGAGATTAGCCAAAACTGATGCAGATGGAGGTGACTGCAAGGATCTAACTATCATGTGACAGATATCTAGTGAAGAACTCTGTAACTTGATCAACAATGTACCACCTTGTAGAACCTGAAAATAGAATAATCCCAACAGAACAGTTAGGAGGTCGCAATTAACCTCAAACAACGTAGATAAATGGTGGAGATATTCCCACATTATTGGTTCATTGTCTCTTTCAACTTTCAAATGGCAACAAAGAGGCCAATGATCTTGAACAAGTTGGAAATACAAGTGTTGGATACTGGTATTAGTTTGACTGTAAGAGTACAAGAAATTACTTACACTGTGGATCTTGCTCATCTTTGGACTCCATTTTTCAATGAAATCTCTAGCTTCATTAACCCGCATATCCAAATTCTCACACTCTTTACATAGATTTGCATCTGAAGGGATTTTGTAATCCATGACGTCATCAAGTACTGGTTTCAAACGCTTTAACACCCCAACCATATTATTACAGATCGTCTGAAAGGGTATAGGTTTCATTGTTTGGCAAGAAACCAGATGAATGAATCGAGAAATGCTGTTGATCAGACATTTCACAGAAGTTGTATCTGCCTGACCTGCTCATGTGAAACCATAAAACAAACTAATATTACACGAACAAGAATTCTAAAGGAAGCATTATAAGATATTATGGGAATTGACTTAAAGGTATAAGAAAGTCCCCTATTTAGTGTGTGTTTGGATTAGTGGTGAGTTAAACACTCATCATGATTTTTGGAAGCAACATTGAGGTAAACTCACCACGATTTTGTACCCATCATGATTTTCTACCACCAAACCAAACACACTATTAGTCCTATATTTACTCTTCTTTTTTTTTTTTTTGAAAGGAAGTCCTATATTTACTTAAAACAATTAAATAGAACTCCAGTGCATCGTAGACTCCAATATTGATAAAAATTCTAAATGTAGAACCACAAGTTTCTCTTCATGCAAAAACACATCATGACTAATGATTTTAGTACATAAGCATATTTGAATAGGCTAAAGGAGACAGTAGAAATTTAGACATATACTTTGATGAATCCAACAGCAACAAAACCATAGGTAGATGGAATCCACTTGCAGTAAGAAGGGTCTAGTACAAAATACTAAGAGGTTATTATTGGTCAAGCAAAGGATGCATGCTACCTTACCTTTGTGGAAATAGTAACATATGCCTATCCCCAATGACAATGGTGCATGCAAGACAAGTCAAAGTCCACTAAAGGAGAGAATTTTCAGTTAAAAAATTTCAGTAAGACAACAACGTCCACTTAAAAGACCCTAATTCAACTAAAAAGCGCAAAGAGAATTCTCCATCTTCCGGTAACCACCCAAATAAATTATTCCAAATTAACCTCTTTTTTTGACAACTTCACCCCAGATTTTCAACCAACACCCAAATGGAAAGTATGCACCTTTCCATTAACCAACCAAATAAATCACTAACAAACAGCTCCAACAACAGCATAACCAAAGTTACAAACTTGTTAAGGAGATTTCATCAAACACTCGTAAATTCATAGCACCCCAACTAATCCTCAGAAACCCCAGAAGCCAGCCAAAGCTCAGATTTTTAGTACAAGTGATAGAAGAACTAATTCGATCCACCAATAAAATAAAATAAAATAAAAAGTAGCAGAGAAATCCACCAAAAAGAATAAATAAATTTTTACAAAAATACATTTTGTGAGGAAAAACAGAAGCTTTGGATCATTGCATATTCATACATACCTATATGCATGATTCTGAAACTCAAATGACACAGATAAAACAGATCCTGATGAGGCTCAAACCATAAGGAATGGAATGGAAGGTTCCAAAAACATGTGATTTAAGAACTTCAATGGCTGTCGCTGAAAGCCATCATCTTCCACCATTCATTCGTCCCTGCATTTCTCCCAACAAAGCTGTATGAAAAGCCTGGGAGAAAGGAGAGGGTCCAACACCAACAACAAGGGAAATTTTTTGAGGAAAATAATTTTAAAAAAATAACATAAAAATGGGTTAATGTGGTGGGTCCTTAATGTCATACGGATACGGTTGCTAACTTGGTGTGTTTCGTGGCAAAATTCAATTTAAGAATATACTAATGAACCGTGGTGAGATGAAATAAAATTTGATTTAGATGTAATCGCAGGTCTTATGTTACAGTTTCTTTTCGCAAAATTTGAGGACAGCAAAATACAAAGTAATGACCTTTTTATTAAAAAAAATATATATGTATTACTATTTTTGTGTATGTGAATATGTCAATTCCAATATGCAGTATGCACGATGATTACTTATTTACATGAGTGTAGTAAGAAATCTTCTAATATTCTCTTTATTAGCTGAAATTTATATAAGTTTCACTAATCAGAAAATGAAATTTACCAAATAAAAGATATAACATATTTAATATTTAATAATATTTAAGTAATTTTTTCTTAAAAAAACGTGTCTAAAAATTGTATTCATATCATGCCTCTTTATTAGTATTGAGTATTTTTTTTTTCTTGTTGAATTTTTCTTTTTGGGACATTCTTTTCCTTCGTGACTTAATAATAATAATAATTATTATTATTATGCTATTAGTTTTTTTTCATTAGTTTTTTTTTTCTGGCAGATACTTTTAATTTTTGAGATTTTGGATAAATTTTGAGATTATAAATTTAAAGATATTTAAAATTAGAAAAATGTGTAAAAAAATATTTCAAATGAATAGATAAATAAGAAAAATAAATTTTAATTAAAAATTTAAAATTTAGTCATACAAGTAATTATAATTTGCTAGAAAAATTAACATTAAATTAAAAGTAAATAACAATAATATTAAAAACAAATTTAAGGTGTTTGATTGCTAAAATAAAAACAATTAATAAAGATGAAGCAATAGAAAGTTATCAAAATATATTAAAATCTATCTTAGTAAGTGTTGTTGAAGATCCTACATTGACTAATAATAAGATCATAATAATGTATATAAATAGATAACAATTTTAACTTTACAAGTTAATTTTGTAAAGTTAAGTTAGACTCTTATCTCATTATTTCAAGATGGTATTAGAATATATCAGAGTCTATATACTAACAATTTATTAGTGGACCTATTAGATTATACGTTATTGAGTTCAGTATTTGATAGGAGAGAGAAACCTATTATTCTAAGAAGTGTTATTGTTATTGGATCACTTGCAAATATTTAATGTTATAAGTTTCACACTTGAGATGCCCGGTATTTAATATAAAAGAGGTATGTTAGCTCAAGATGTTGGATCCTCACTATAAGAAAATGTATCAGAGATCGTATATTAACTAAAAATAAGATCATACATTTTATATATATATATA